AATCGGGTGCGTGGATCCCAGAGGGAAAGTGACAAGAAATCGCCTGCTTTCAGAGGAGGAAACATACTATGCATCATTAATACTACTACTAATAATAAAAAAAAAAGTAGTACATATCTTCTTTCGGTCCAGCATCAGACATTTTTAAGGTGACTATAAAATGCTGTAGAATTAAAAAGAATACAGCATCGTTAAAGAATCCCCCAGACAGGCATTCAATTGATGAAGTGTCTGCTAAAACTATTTAACAACATAATGCTGGCTTTTTTAGTGTCGATGTGTAAAGAGTGGAGCCAAGATGAGAAGCTGGGGTGGGGGGGGTAGTTATAGCACCTCCACAGAAGCAAATGATCTCACTGGTCTTGTCTCCAGTCCCTCCAATAGGCAGTGTAACACACAGTGAACATCCACAGCACATGTCAGAGGAGAGAACGTATTCCTGATCTCTGAAAAACATGGTCCTTAGCGCTGGACAGGCAGTGCATCACTCCCTTTGTGAAGCCTGCGAGTTTACAGGTTATTAATCTATTTACTGAAACTGCCCACGTTGTTGGTTTATTACATCCAGCACAACATAGTTCCAATGGAAACTGTAACACCTTACGTAGGAGCTGTAAGTCATCCATCACCGCTGAGCTTGTTTCCATAGAGTTATATTAGTAAAAGCTTAAGTGTGAATTCAGACCGGTGCCACGTTGTGTACCGCACCGTGCAGATGTTTGCATTCGGGTGTGAGCACCCCTGGCAGGTTGAGCTTTCTGCTCAGGAGCATAAGCCCATACAAAACCTTCAAGGGACTCACCCCATCACTAAATCCTGCCCCTGGATTCGTGCAGAGCAACATCGTATTCCATCCTTCATAAACAGGGCTTGGAAGGGATTTAATCTAAAGTAATGAGGCTAAAAAAAAAAAAAATAGGCTTCTTTTACAAGGAATGTATCAACACAAAGAATTACTGTGTGGGGGAAACAGTGTATTAAATAGCTCTTCACTGCTTTTTCCCAGGAGCTGCTTGCCACTTTGCTGGAGGTGGGATAGGGCCCTTGAGGAGCTCCGATTTGATCACCTGTGACAGTTTCTGTAACCCACTCATACCTTCAGGCAAATTAGTTGAATTTGCTGCTTCATTTCCTTCCTGATGATTGTAGGTGAGTGGGTTTGTTTATGAAAACATCACTGGGGAACAGCGCACCAGCAAAAAGGAGATCTCTCCCCAGCATTTCTGAGGTGATGGAGGGAATAAGAGGGTGACGAGAGCCCTGAAGAATGTCCTAGAAAAGCAACAGTGCCTGGAGATGGAAAAATCTGAGCACTCTGCATTTCACTACCTGTTGTACCGCACCCGGTCTGGCCATGAGCTTAACAGAGAAACAGAATGACTCCAGTAAAACAAATGAATTCTCATCATATATAATTTTTACTAGTGTATCCACAGGTTGTATCAAGGTTGTTTCAAGGAAAATCAAGAGTGTTCAAACTAATGATAGTTAATCAAGATGACACTGGAACAGGTCTGTGGATGCCCCATCCCTGGAGGTGTTCAAGGCCAGGCTGGATGGGGCTTTGAGCAACCTGGTCTAGTCGGAGGTGTCCCTGCCCATGGCAGGGGGGTTGGAACTTGATGATCTTTTTGGTCCCTTCCAACTCAAACTGTTCTAGGATTCTATGCATGTATGACTCTGTGAGTGAAGCAAGGGAGCCAAGAGATAATATAAAGTTTTCTCTGCATTTTCAGTCCTATCTCTGCACTATTTCTCTGGAGTGTGCAAGGGGTAAGACATGGTGCATCACTCCAGTGACATCAGCCTTGGTTACAAGTTGCAAGGAGGAGATATGGAAGAGGCATCTGCAGTGACTGGTTTTGGTCAGGAAAGCACTTTTCTGTAGAGCGAGGCAGAAAAGAATGGTACTTCCCAGGAGTGCCTCATGGAGTTGTGACACAGAGGTAAAGGTGGAGCATGGAGAAGTGCCTCAGGTCTCCAGCAGTGCTACCTCTAGCAGTGGGAGGCTGAGCCAGGAGCAGAGAACAAGACAAAATCCTCCTGAAACAGCAAGTGTGGAACCTGTTTCTATTTGTTATGCCAGTGTTACACTCAGTTAACTCCTTTGGATGCTCTCAACTTCACTGATGCACCCCAATGAGCTCGCAGGTAGCAAGTGCTCTTCGATAATGCCATAGTAATTACAGCAGGGGCCAACCAGGAGGGTTGGATCCGCTCCCTTTTACACTGTAGCATTTCCCTAGCAAGTGTCATTTAGATGCTTTTGGGAAAGAATCCAGGATTTGTTTCACAGACAGTATTTCCTCAACAGCTCAGTGAATATGAAATAGTTTGAACTAACCATGCAAATCTCACTTGTCTTCTTATATAGAGAAACGATATCTATTCTAAACTCTGGGCCAAGGCTTTCAGCTGCTGATGGGGGATAGCTATGCAGACATCAAAGGAGCTGTATCAGCTTTCACCAAGCCGGGATCCAGCCCTTTATTCATATTTTAAAATGCAGAAACTGTGTCTAGGTAAAGCATTTTTCTCTATATTTTTAAGTAGCCAGTATTTTATTTTAGAGCTGCTCCCTCAGTGGCAGGATTGTTTCTCAGTAGTCAATGTTTAAAGGCCCTTCAAGGCTGAAGGGATTAAAAATGAATAATTTAAAGATGGTCTATGATGCAGAATTTTTAACATATGTTTTACAGGCCATGTAGAACAATTTTTTTTTTTTTTTTTTCTTTTCAGTAGATATTTTACAAACATGCTGTGCTGGAACCAAAATCCTTTTTTATTTAAGACTCAGATTTGAGCCCTCCTATGCATCGACACAGCGGTGTGCTGGCGTCTGCAAGTCATAACAAGGAAATCAATTTTTTTTTTTTTTTGTCTTGTCAGTAGATATTTTACAAACATGCTGTGCTGGAACCAAAATCCTTTTTTATTTAAGACTCAGATTTGAGCCCTCCTATGCATCGACACAGCGGTGTGCTGGCGTCTGCAAGTCATAACAAGGAAATCATTATCACCAGCACTGATCAGAAAAGAGGAGAAATGAAGCTATTTCACCACCTTTTCCTCTTACTCACACCGGTATGCCAGATGTGGGCAGAACTATGGCTCTCCCATCTCAGAAAGCTTCATCCCAAGGTAGAGACAGAGCAGCTGTAATTTGTTTATCCTAAAGCTGCAAAAGGGCTGGACCCGGGCGGCGCTGGAGAAGGAGGTGTAAGACATGTTGGGTTTTGGTTATTTATTGAAGGTTGGCTGGAGCATTTTTTTGCCGACCTCCTGTTAACTTCCTAAACAATGTAGTGCTAGGAACGCCAGCTTAGTCACTCTTGGCAGTTGGCAATGCTAATTGCTGGCAAATAGCCAATGATTCACCTTTTACGGATTTTATTTCTTGTCCCTTCCTAACTCCTTGCAACAGCAAAGAGAAGAGGCACCTACTCTGCGGATGCTCAAAATCAGCCCGGATTTCAGCCTTATGGACTGGTTTCCACACTCTTTTTTGTTTTCCTGGATTGTCCGGCTTTTCACTTCGATTTTACAGTTACTCCAGATTTGCAATGAAAAAGAAATCGTTTTGATTACTTTAAAAGCTCTTTGGGCCCAAAACCAATTTCAAGTATTTCAGCAAGACGTAAGTTTAGGCATCACACTGGGAGTGTGCAGATTTGGGCTTGCATTTTCTCTCCCCTCATTTGCTCTCTCTTCAGTAGGTAATCTGTCATCTTTCAAACAAGCCAATTGTCATTGTGTCTAGGCCAAAAAGAAAAAGTTAAAATAGAAAATCAGCATTTGGCGTGTATGCAGTTGCCAAGAAGCTATTTCTCCTCGCCTGTGTAAATAAATTGTCATTCAGAAATGGTTGGCTTGCTCTAAGAGACGTGCTAAGTGCTACCCTTGCACCATGCTCCCAGTGGGAGGAGAGGATCCAAGAGTGTGGTCAACTAATGCCCCATCCCCAGCTTCGTCCCCTAATTCTGTCAAAAGGGACCGTTCTTTGCACGGGCTTAAATGTCGTTAGATAGCTGCTGTTGCAATTAACATAGCAAGAGTGATTACTGTCATTGACAGTTATGTCCCCATATCAGGACCAAGCTCCATAAAAGTGGATCCTTTAACAAGGCAAATTGATTTACTGGTAAATCTATATATTTTTATGTTGCTAATCATTCATGTTTATTATGTATTGTACAGAGATACACCTATTGATTGGCACAACAAGCTGTGAAAGAGATTAAATACTTCCAACAAAACTTTATAAACATGGGACTAAGAGTGTTGACCACAAATGGACTCTATGCAATTTGTTTATTCTGATTGGTAAGAGAGACAGATGGTCTATGCATATCTTACCTCCACTGAAGAGATAAAATATGTTCCGTATTTGAACGTGTAAGAGGCATTGCCCTTATTTTACATAACTTGCTGGAGTAGCACGTTATACACAGTGAGAACAAACTTTATCATGTTATCTGATGGCAATGGACTTTGCCATAATTTTTAGACAGTTTTATCTTGTCTGGTTTGCTCTTCTTCGCTTTTTATTTTCTTTTTTTGCAAGCAACACCCTGCAATTCTGACAGGTGTTGCAGAACTGTGGTAGTCTTCCCTGATCCAAAGCCCACTTAAAGGCAACTGGTAAGAGCTCAGAGGTTTAAAATGGGCTTTTGGATCACATCCTCAGCCTCCGTACTTCACAGAATCACTCTCTGGCATTGAAGTGTGTTATAAGCAAAGAGAAAAGAAACAAAAAAGCATCCAACATCCTTCCTTGGTTGCTCTTGGA